CACATTTTTAAAAAGGGAGGGACGCATGGGAATAGGAAAATCTTCCTCCAGGTAGACTACATTCATTCGTGAGCCCTTCACATGTTTCCGACAGTGACCACCTGCATGCAGGCGCCCCCGCCCCCCTACCTGCACTGAGCACTGAGGAGCCCCCCAGCTCTACATGCATGAGGAGTGAGCTGCACACCCAGCCCCATCAGCAGGGGTGGAGAGGAGCTCCAGTCAGTGTCTGTCTCCAGACCCTGCGCTCTGCTTTAAACAGAATCGTTAATAAACCACATCATGAGAGGAGGCCCCAGCACAACAACGGCCTGATGAAGCGCTCCTGCAAATTGCAGGAGATATCGCATAAGGCTTCAAACACAAGTCTGTATAATACGTGAAACTGGCACCACATATACAGTACACGCATAATAACATTCTTAGAATAATGATGAAAAAGCTTAAGATACCAATGGAGGGCAATGAAGGCAGGCAATTAGTTAAACAAGAAGAGGCATAAGTGACTGGGTGATTTGCTTTGTTGAGAAGGAGGTGTCTGCTGTGAATTAGTATGCACTACTTCATCACAGAGCTAAGCTTCTCCTAGGGAGACCTCTGCTGTCAATAAATACTGGATGCCTTCAGTCTGCCGTTCCTCCAGGCCCTTAATATACACAAATATATTCTCTGTGAAACCTCCAGGTACTTCAGCATGTCCGGGAAAGAAGGCAACTAAGATTTAAAGCCTGAAGTACATACACAGAATGACAGGTTCTGCAGGAGGGCAGCAAATACAGAAGCAGATACGGTAGCCTCAGTGGTGGAGGCTGGGGGAGAGCTGTAAAGCTATAAAGTTCGAACAGACGAGGGGAAATGAGATATTGTGATCATACGCTGTGTGGAAAATCATAGGTTAAGTTCCCATGATCGCATCTCCCAATGATGAAAATGATTTTTTTTTTATCTCAGTTACTGTGATAAACATACAGAGGCCATGGCATACTTACTGTAGATTTTTAGAAGGCTTTTGGTAAATGTCCATGCACAACAGTACTTCTCAAGTTACAGCAATAGGCACTCCAGGCGATGCATGTACAGTATATGGATTAAGAAGTGGTAAACGTACTGTACACACCCCAGTACAACGGAAGGGTGAAGGGTGAAGGGTAATGAGTGTCCAGTGGGATCCACAGCATTTCTTAATTTATATCAGTGCTTAATATCGGTAATTTATATCGGTAAGCTAGTCATGTTCGTAGATGATAAGGAGCACTTGCACAAACCGTAGAAGCAACATAGTAAATTCAAAAGAAATTAGAACAAATAGGAGACTGGGCAAACACCTGGCAGATGACATTTAATTCAAACAAGCGTTAAACAATGTCGGAAAGCAGTAATAAGGCATATAAAAAAGTCATAAGATCAGAATGCTATGATGTACAGATAAAAGTGTAGAACTTAAGGGATGTTGTGCAAGACTTGTGCAGTGCACTAGTAAGAAAGACCTTGTTTAGTGTATCATGTGCAATTTATGTCGCCAAGATGCAAGAAAGATACACTTGTTCACCCAAAAGGATTCTGGAACAAGATGCACAGCCAGGTTGTTGAAACTGAAACCCTGACTTTTTTAAAGAAATGGTTGCATGAGGTCCTTGGATCAATTAGGCACTAAACACCAAATGAGCTAAATGGGATTTACAGCCTCCTTTCATCTGTAGCCTTTCTTATGTTATTATATATCCTTACTCAGATAAACACAAAGGAAGATTTAAACAATAATGCATTATGAATGATGCAGATAAAGAGAAAAATGAAGAGCCTGTTAAAGAGCCACAGTGCTGTGGTAGATACCTTGAGAAGTGTCCTTTTGTATAAAACTGCAGTCGTGTTTTGCTGCAGCTCCTCTGTCCTGCTGGAAGCCAGTCTGCGCAAAGTTGTACCTGCCTGTTGACTTCATTGTTACATCATTAGCTCATCCAGTATTTTTTTTTAATATCACTTGGCTGTTTCTCCCGAGAGGCAGAAAAAGCCACTCAGCTGGATGAAGATATTGTCATGCTCCTGAGGGAGAGAGCAGGTGGGAAACAGAGAAGGGAAGGAAATGAATTGCACCTGGCGAAACTCGGGACACAAGTGGAATAAAAGTGTAGGCATTGGTGCCAACTGTCAGAAATATAGGTGGATAAAAGGTCAAGTGTTATACACTGTAAGCAAAACTACTCTTTGTTTAAAGAACAGCAGAAACAGCAGAAGCCAGTTGTGTGTGCCTGTCCTCCAGCTCCTAAGACTGTCCCAGCCCCGGTTTTGCTGGGTTAAACGTGTCCCTCGTGTCGAACGTTTGCACAGGCTGAATTCTCTGGGTCACACTGACAGAGCGACACAGCCTCACTCTGCACACCCCAACCACAAAGACAGATCCTCTGAGCATCCCGTAGTAATTCGGAGTGCTGTTCCTGTCCCGGCGACGAATTTCACATTACTGTCTTCCGACTGAACACATTAGCATTCATAGCATCTGATACTCTGTAACTCCAGTGTAATCTGATTACCATTGGAACTTTGCAATATGACTTTGAAAACAATGTATGTGCCAAAATCTTCCTGGTCTTCCCTACAGACTGTTTTAATTCACAGGTAATACAGGACGCAAGCGAGGGAGAGATCCATTGCCTTTGTCTTTTAAGGATTGGTTCATGTTTCCTTTTTAATATAAAAATTTAATTGTGGGCTATACAGTATGGGGGCATTAACTCCCAGGGTTGGAAAGAAATGATAGCGGATATGAAAAACAAGCACTGCTCATTTCTCAATCTCTTATCTTGTTGATCTCGTTTTCCACAGACAAAGTCTTCTTGTTCAACTAAATTATTTTATTTAAATGAATTATTAAACAATAAGTCTGAAATCTGTTGAAATGAAAAGGGCAGTCTTTTTATTTCTCATTTCACATGTGTATATTCTACACTGTTCCCAGAGGACAAAATGTCCAAAAATAGGGCTATAAATAAGAAATCAGTGGCCTTTTCTGTCGTGCTGCATTACACAGGCTTGATGTATGTTTCTGCAGCCTTATTACTCACTCTGCTCAAATCAATGCTCTAATCTTTTCCCTCAATGATTGATTTCTGTGCTTCTTAACTTACATTGTACGTGATTTAATAAATACTAGAGTTGTGCCATTAAAAATCTTGCAGTGTAATGTAAAAACCCTCCTGCTGGTGACTGGGTGTCAGAAGTGCTCCCTGCGCTGCTCGTGCCCGCGGGCTGGAGGGAGGGGGTCAACTGCAGCAGGGGCCTCTGCGACAGGGGCCTGCTGACCGCGCGAGGGAAACGTCTCCTCTCGTGTCCGAGTCCTCCGCCGCAGCTCCACGGGAAGGAGATTGAGAAACTCAAAGCAGGAGAAACCGGGAGATTTTCTGTGAGAAAATATTCAGAATTGGTCTGATGGGTTGGTTCTTGATTTTTCAAGCTGCATTTTTGTTTGAAACCCAACAGAAAACCAGCAGGCTCTGAACAATTTACAGTGTTGTCTACGCTATTAAAGTATCATCCTTGTCTTTATACAACACACACTCTGCCCTTATAAACTGTACCAATCACACACTCAAAATTTAGATTTTTTTTCAAGGAAGGTTACTTTTCATTAAACCCACTGAACCCACTGGAGCTCAGCAGTGTGAGCCTGACCAGTACTTGGATGGGAGACTCCTGGGAAAAACTAAAGCTGCTGCTGGAAGAGGTGTTAGTGGGACCAGCAGGGGGTGCTCACCCTGCGGTCTGTGTGGGTCCTAATGCCCCAGTATAGTGATGGGGACACTATACTGTAAAAAGGCGCCTTCCTTCTGAAGAGACATAAAACCTTCAGCCCGATTCTCTGTAGTCTTTAAAAATCCCAGGGCGTTTCTCAAAAAGAGTAGGGGTGTTACTGGCCAAATTTCCCCCTGGCTTTACCAATCATGGCCTCCTAATAATCCACATCTCTGACCAGGCTTCATCACTCTCTTCTCCTCCCCACTGAGAGCTGATGTGGGGAGCGTACTGGTGCACTATGGCTGCCATCCCATCATCCAGGTGGGGCTGCACACTGCTGGTGGTGAAGGGGAGTCCCCATTACCTGTAAAGCACTTTGAGTGGAGTGTCCAGAAAAGTGCTATATAAGTGAAAGCAATTATTATTATTATTAAAAGCAATGAAAAAAGCAAAATACAAAAGCCACAATTTCTGTTTGGTACTCTGTGTCTACACCAGAGTTTTTTGTTCACATCTTTTTCTTTCAGCTTACAGGTGAAGCCATCTTACGCCTGGTCAATGAGCCCGTTCTGCCAGTGAACGCACTAGACATCGCCCTGGACGTGCAGAACAAACTGCAAGGTAGTAAGTAATTTCTGTGTAATGCGCACAGCCGTCCTCTGCTTTACATCGGTTTAGGTAAGAGAGCGATCTTTTAAATAGACAGAACAATGTGATGTAGTTTCACTGACACAGACCTAGACCTTCTTACCACATTGAACAGCCCAGGCTTAGTGAAAGGTAGGGAAATGTACTGTATTTGCTACAAATAAAGATTTGTCATTAGCTAAAAAAGGTCTGTGAATTCACCGGTTCAAGTTTATTGTACTTAAATGTGATAAAGTAGTGTAAGTTTTTGAAGTGCAGGATCAGACCACAAAAAGGTTAATTGAAAGGAATAATATTCTGCAGATAAAATTAGTCGGGCCCAGACCAAATCAAACTTTCCACCCCCCATTTGTGCCAACCACAAATGACAAATGCATTACATGAGAACAAATATCCTTTAGGCAAATGAGTGTGCCCTTTCTGAACACAAAGCTGTTTTCGAGAGCTGGATTCAGAGATGGTCACTGGAGGCTATGCTGGAGTCTCTATCCAGCCTCCTCTGGGATGTTTCAGACTGATTGCTGATCAGTGCACACAGTCTGCTGATGACAATATATTTTCTTACTGGACTTGGCAGAGATATCCGAGTGTATGGCAATCTATAATTTATTGTATATGAAATAAAATGTTGTCTGTGCTCAAGTGATTAATTATACTGGCTCGAGACTTTTCTGCTTCCAAACTTAACTCATGCAAATATGTCATCTTCATTCATAACCACATTGTGTTCCCAGGTGACCCAGTATTATTTTTCTACAGTACATCTACTGTAGATACAGTATAATGGGCTTGTGTGTGTGAATCTTCTTAGCTTTGCCTTTGGCCTTCACTCATAACAGTCTGAAAGCACAAGAAATTCCTGTGCCTGGATGACCCAGCAAACATGCTTAGAGATAAAGCACTTCTGAATAAATTGCAGCCAGCAGTACTTGGACTGGAAGTTTTCCTTCATTCCAAACACGTTGTAGACTGTTTGGACGTAGCGGATGTGGGATTATTATACGCTCCTACTGTTGGGTAGCAGTAAAAAGCAATGAAAACGCCATCGTAAAATCCTCACAGCAGCACACCACAGTACAGCTAGAGTTTCATTCCAATCGCAGTGTCAAGCCAGCTGCTAGAGAAGAGTGGAGAATGGCCCAGATTTCAAAGTTAAAATCCTTGCAAGGATTCAAACAGCTGAATTGCTGTGACTTTCAGTCCACCTCAGATGGGCGTAAAAGGTTTATAATGCCCCTGTAAAAGCACCTCATTGCCTGGAGTAATTTGAAGCAGTTGGTCATCAGGTTGTCCAGAGGGTTAATTTACGGCTGTGGTTCAGCCTGGCAGGTCTCACCACTCCTCACAGCCCACAGCCAATCTCCTAGGGGTGATTTAATGGAATAGAATTTGTTTGGGTGGATTTATTGATCACTGTGCGAAGGCTCTAAGACTGAAGGCGAGTGACCTTGGCGATTGCGTTTGGGAATTCAATCGAGAGTCTTTATCCAGGACCATATTGGTGGCGTATCCAGATGCCCTTGACATAAGGGGGCTGCACATCTGGATTCAGACCATTTCTTTAAAGATTAGGAGAAAGCAGTTGCTGGGCATTGTATAGCATATGTGTATCAATCGGTTAAAATATGTGTTTCCTTGGAACAGTCAGATGAGGAATGTATGACATATTTCTTATTCTTCAGCCTTTCAAAGGCACTGTATCCACTAGGAATTATCAGGAAGTTCAATTTTCGTGATAATTTTGAAACATTACTATCAGAGCTCATTCTTCCAGTATGAATACGCACGTGTTTCTGGACTGGACAGCAATGTTCTGGACTGGAGTGGTGAACGAATTGTACTTCAGTTATATCCATCTGATCTTCAGTATCCTCAAGGGCTCGGACAGAGTCGCCCCAGTGAATGTCTTCAGTCAACAGTGAATCAGAGGACAGAAGTAGAAACTACATGGAAGTGCATTTAAATTCAAGGACAGGAGGCTCTTCTTTCCACAGTCGGGTACAGGGGAAAGGGAAGGTGTCACTGGCTTCTTTCCAAAAATGACTGGATGTGGCCATTAGCTACTAGCAACCAAGAAGCTGATGGGCCCCCTCTGGTTTGTAACCTCTCCTGTGCTCTTGTCAGGGCTGTTAGCAGTATCTCTGGCATCGGTATGTCTCTGGGTCTGCACTTGAAGAAGAGACGTCAGCAAAGAGAGGCCTGTACTGTAACCCCCTGACCCAGCATCCTTGCTGCCCTGTGAGGATCACAGATTCTTAAAGAATCGTTTCACCCTCGTGTCTAAATATCAACTTCAGATCTTATTTGTAGCCTGTCCTTCTGAAACCAGAAGATCCTTGCAGTCAGTTCTCAAGGAGGACTTCAGGATTCTGATTTCTTTAGGCACATACAGGATACACAGTAGTTAACAGCATTGGCTCTACCTTCTTAAAGGCTCTCTTTTAGGGCTTCTCAGCAAAACTAATAACAATACAGGCGATTCATCACAATGAATGGGGTTTTGCATCAACTGGCCATATTTAAATTAAAAAATCGAGACTGTCAAATCTCTGCATTTTTTGTATGATCACACAGTTCATTTTAAAGGCGGTTGTTTTTCTGTTTAGCAGGGTGGTCTTACTGTACAGTATGTCCTTCGACTAAGACTAATGTAGACAAAGCAGCACGTCTGTCACCAGAGCCCCAGTCTGCGCCTCTCCCCTGATGCAAGATCACTGCACTGACTCCAGTAAAGCATGTCTTTATCGCTGCAGTTCAAAATACAGTGGGGGATAGGGCTCATATATACATATGCATATTCACGTGCACTGCTAGGTGCCAGGGTTGATCTCTATTTTGAAATTGCCGCATGCTGTTCTGGGATTGGAGCAGGAAATGGATTTTTGCAGACTTTCACCAGCACTTTCATGGATTGTCTGAGAATAAACTTGGAATATCTAATTGAAAACTTCAAGCACCCTTTGTTTGCTTTTTTAAATTATTATTATTATTATTATTATTATTAAAATTAAATTGCGAAGCACGCTGTCTGATCAAAATAGGAAAACTGTTGGTTCCGGGAAACAGGATTTTACAGTACATATAAATATGCTGCCTGCGTCTGTGTTGGCCGTTCTGTGCCTTGATTGGTGGGTCCCGCAATTAAAGAGAATGCCATTCAGAAATTTGCCTTCGGTTGGAGAGGACAGGGTGGGACTTGCTCTCTCATCCTTTTTTGGAAATGAACTCATTCTGGATGCACACAGTACCTGAGCCCGGTGCAGACAATGCGACTGCTGCGGTCCCTCCACGAGATCATGAGATACAGTACTGTAGATTACTGCGGCCCCCCCACGTATTTCATAACTCACATCCCCCCCGCAGAGAGCTTCTGGTGCTAAATTTATCCTGCCTTTCTTTCTTTGCGGAGTACTCACACTGCGTGCATATTCTCAGGTGACTTCCCCTCCCGTTCTCCTCCACGCCGTAGAATCATTATTATCGCGCACACACATCAAGACACAAAAGAAAGACAAGTTTTTCAAGCATTAAAAAAGAGCACGAACAGTGAATTGGAGACAAGTAACAGGGGTACAAGGTTGCAGTCAAAGATAATATATTGGAAGAAAAACGTTTTTGTCATTCTAGGTGTACATAAGCTGTAGTGCTCAGGTTTTCTTTATTGTGCTCAAAGTGGTCTTGTATTATTATTCAGTCAAAGGTGCAAGGAGTGGGAAGCTATTAAAAGCTTAATGCTACTGTAGTTATATACAGTATTCACTAGGAGATTCGGTAATATTCTAAGAGGCACTAAAATGCATTATTGAAATCAATAACACTTGTTGCATTTTTAATGTCTCTCAGTACATGTGCTCTGAGAACCCAACATTGATGAACATTTGATTCTTAATACAGTAGTTGTGATTTCTAGTCAATCTCATGTCCTTTCCTGGTTAACAGAAGACAGTAGAACTTGTATTCTCAGTAAAGTGAAAAACTTGTAAACCCGAATTCTTAAATATGGAGGTGACAAAGCTGACAAACAAAAAATAACCACCATAAAAAAGTCTTATGCTGCAGTCCTGGGCAAAAACACAGGAGAGGAGAGATTTACAGAGGTTCAGTTTACCACCATTCCCGTTCCCATTATCGAATTTTAAATCAGGCCTTGAGGATGCAATTTATTGCAGCTAAATATAATGTCTGTGCAAAACTAAGAAGCAGCTTTAACAGAAAGATAATCTTTTGTGATCATGTGTGTTAAAGGTCAGAGCCCACATCAGTAGCTGTGAGCTTGGGGCTGATGTGTCAGTCCTGCTTGTATTGTTGTGAGCTTCAGGGAGCTTTTCTGCGGTTGTCGTGTGGAAAGAAAACAATAAAAGTCACATGACGAAGTTCGCCATCTTGTGAGGGTTCATCGCAGTGCTGTTTCCATTAATGAAGCCTCACCACTGAACAGCAGAGTCAGTGAAGTGCTACCAGTGGCTTCAATAGGGCTCATACAGATCTCGAACCGAAAATTAATACATTTTTAATGAGTCATAATGACATTTGCAGCCTTGATTATGTTAATGTATATATATATATTAAAGAAAACCATAGTGCTGTGGTTGAAATTCATTCAGATCTCCAGCTGTTTCTTTTGAGCTGCGCTTTCTCACTTCATAGCCAGAGACTCAGGGCATGTTTTTTTACCAATAATCTGTTTGTTTTTGTTAAGATGCCAGTGCATGTTTGATCTCCTTTTTTACTTTAATACTTTAAAGTAATATTTTGTGATAGTGTGTATCCAGCCTAGGGCCCAATGCTTCCTGGGATAGCCTGAATTGGACATGGGGTTGTTGAAAGTGGAGCGATGACGATGTGACTATACTATCCTGAGTGTGGCACTGAGCAGATCTCTTCTCACGTGGGCCAGGCGCCTGTCTGGTGCTGGGACAAACAGCAGAGGGCGACAGCAGGTCTGGATCCTGCTGGATCCTGAGCTCTCCTGCTGAGCCACATCCAGATGGGTTATAACTCATGAGGGCACATTTCAGCACACTAGCAACTTTCAGAATCTCATCCCAACCTGAAAGTGTCGTGAGTAGGTTCCGTTTCTGCCTTTGGCAGATGAATTTTCCAAGAAAAGGACTTGTTTATACAAAATATTGGGCACGTCACTCGTGGGTAACTAGGACCCAGAACAGGAGAGCAGTTTCTCCTACACAGTTAAATCAGTTTATACACAGTATACAAAAGTGCCTATAAGAATTTTACAGTACAGTATTTTTATATGTATATATTATATACAGTATAATTTTAATGTACAGTATTTCACAGAGCCTGTGATATTTTCAACACAGTATTATTACATTCTGGCAGGATAGCCTTCAGCAGATGTTGTAATGGTATGTGAACTGGACAGCACACCTACTGGTGTCACCCAGCTGTTTTTAGAATCTGAGAGTTAGAGTTAAGGGTCAAGGGCCAAGGGTTAAGGGTGAAGGGTTAACGATTTCAGTTGGAGGCTGGGGGTTGGGGGCTGAGGGTTAGGGTTAGAGTTAGGATTCTGGCTCAGGCCTGGGAGGATGATGGAAACCATTAGGGTCACCTCACACAGTCATGGAGACTATTCCATTGACTGAGGGCTCCTGATTAATGACTAGTAAATCTCACAGTACAGTATATGCAATTGTGTGGGTGTTACAGTCTTTTTCTGTGCTTAACTAGATTTGCCTCATAAAGAAATGATTTTTACTCTCTACCGTCGACAGGCAATGTCTTGAGTCACATTCTGTATTTGGGGTATTCTTGTTGCATTCTGATTAAAGTGACCCTGAATACGGTTTGAGGGGTTTCGTTGTGTGTCCTCATGTTGCAGTGCTGGTTGTACAGTATGTTAGCTGAAGATCATTTTATAACAGCCGTGCCAGGAGCTGTCTTGTTGGCTGCAATGTGATTACTGGAGACAATATGAAAACAAAATCAACTGCTGTAGGGAGGAAATTTTGCTAAACCCAATTCACTGTCATAAAAATTACAGCAAAAGCATGTTCACAGTCCAGGCGTCTGTCATTTCATCTGGACTACTTGTCGAACACCTGACATTTTTTATTTCGGAACAGTCATTCAAACATTGTCGTCAGAATGCCTTCATGCTACATGTCCTGTATGAGTGCACACCCTGATGTTTAAAATATTCTTCATTGTACAGTGGGAACTACAGTATCTGAAAATTCCAGAATTCACCACTGCGTGTGTTGAGCAAATTAAACTGTAAGCAGGTAAACACACCCAGGTGTTCTGTTTTGTAAGGGTTTGGAAAGACTTTCTCAACAGCAGGGCTCTGTGTCATGACAGGCCTCCCCTCTTGACTCCTGGTCTTAATGTTGCCCTAGTTTCCACTCGTGTCTGCTGGTCCATGTTTCACTGACTCTGAATCCATTGTGCCGACATTGTCAGTGAGGACATTGAATACCCGAATCAGGTCCCCTAATAGACTTGTCTGTTGCACATTAAAAAGGTTTAATTCAGTTTTTTTAGCCTGTCAGAGTAGGGACATCACTTTACAACTTGGAGTGTATCTGGCTGTTCTTCTTTGGACTAATTTCCAGAACAGGAATATCTCTGCAGTAACAAGTTGACCAGAATTGTAAACAATATTCTAAATGTGGTCCTACTAGTACATTATACAATTTTAACATATCTCTTGGCCTTTTTATGCCAAGGTGGAAGCAATACAATGGCAAATAAATCGTCCGGATGTACAATACAGTTAAAAGTGTGGAATTTAAATCAAGAGATGTTCATGTTAAAATTGTACAGTAGCTATCACGTTGAAGAGCAAATTCAATTTTGTGCCATTGCTGTATTTTTCCTTTTTTTTTTCAATTGGAAATTTTCTGAAGCATTTAATAGTCTTGCCTTTATGCGGAAAGTGTCTGTAATCATTATGATTATGCAATCCCGATGTGGTAACAAATAGTCTTAAAAATATATACATTACTTGGGAATGTTAAGAAATTGAAGAGAGAAGAGCACCATTCATAAAAATCTGTTTTAAATGGAATGCATTTGATATAATTACCAGTCAAGAAACATAGAATCTCCTTTTGTTTTCCTTGGTTTAATGCATTTCTGTGTACATTATCTCTTTATATACAGGAAGTAGAGAATGAATAAACCAGATCAATTTTGTTTGAGTAATTCTCTGATACACCCACGGTCCACAAACCTTGTCCTTCAGAGCAGTAGCACGTTGTGGGTTTGCAATCCAGCTGGGCTCACGGGTGACTCATTTGAATAAATGATTTTGCACCAGTTATGGGCTAATAATTATCTGTCAGCCAGTTTTCTAGACTCCTTTGCATTATTTCAAACACCCTGTAATACCTGCAGCGCTGTGGCTGCCCTTGTTGTGTGGAGTACAGCCTGCAGTTCCTGTGTTTCTGGGCTCCCTGAGAGAGGAGGTGCGATGGTGTCAGTGAACCTGGGACAAGGAGTGGGGGTTATGGGGTTAGCAGGGCACCCTGCCCTCTACTCTACTATTCCAGTGTCGAGTGTTCAAATGCCAGATCCCTCTTTTCTGTTTCCCAGATGACGAGCTGCCCACAGAGCGGCTGCTGGCCCTGGCTGGCGCTCTGAGAGAGAGCGCCCAGCTCTTCCAGTCCGACGAGATGCGCCCCGCCAACGACCCCCGCGAGCGGGACCCCCTGCGGGTCCGCATGCTGAACGACGTGCTGCAGGACCTGGAGAAGAACTTCCTCGCTTCTCCGGCGCCTCCGGGCTGTTACAGGTGGGAGCAGATCAGACACAAGACAGATGTGCTAGAGACAGCACCTTGCCCTGCTTTGAAACCCATCCGATAGAACCCGGTCCCTAGCAGTGAGACCTTCTCAGGTCTGATCCGCTCTGAAACAGTACAAGAATCAGTCTGACACTCACTCATTTTCTCACTGCAGAGCGAGGGCATTGAAAATGGTCTATACTGAAAAGAATGCCCTTCACTATCTCTGAAGCTCCTGCAAATCTAAACTCTGTGTACATTTTAGGATTTTCATACCTGCAGTCAAAGTCACAGTTCTTCTTACCCCATTTCAGTGTAAGAGCTATAGAACAGCCTCTGTGTTCTGTGCTCCGTGTTCTGTTTTCTGTGCTTTGGGCTCTGTGTTCTGTGCTCTTTGTTATTTGTTCTCTGGATTGCGCTCTGTGCTCTGTGTTACTTGCTCTGTGCTCTGTGCTCTGTGCTCCGTGCTCTGTCTTCGGTGTTATGCGCTCTGTGTTCTGAGCTCTGAGAGCTAAGTCAGCAACTTTGTGGAGAGTCCTGATGAGTAATCGTATAACTCCCTGTGATATCCTAATTCAGGATGTACACACAGATACTTATTTGCATCTTTTTCAAATTAATTATTTTAACAATTTAAAGAGTGCTATGAAGTTGCTGGCTTTTTTGCCTGAACTTTTGCACTTTATTTATTGCATGAATAGTGAAAACTTTTTGAGTCTTTAGACATTTTTTTAGTGATGTGCTTTTGTGAATTGACAAATCTAAAGTTATGACACCAGGACCAGAACAGCTTCCATCAAGATGTTAAATACGACATTAACGCTTTGCACTCAGTGAATATACTGGCCTCCCAACAGATAAGGATTATCTTACATTCTTAGTGGAAAATGAGCCAGATTCTTCCGAATGAGCAATGAAATATGAAAAATGGAAAAATGGAAGCAAGAGGATAGTACTTTTAAAACACAAGCGTTAAAGTGTAAAAGTGAGTGTGGGAGTACAGTATGAAACAGGCTGCCCAGCCATGTTGTGGAAGATGATATCCTGTCGTTTATAGTCTTCTTATGCCCTTATGAAAATGCAAAGAACAAAATAGAAGCCTTTGGCATTTTTTCAATACAATTAATGTTTCCCATTCTAAAAAAAGTTTCATGTGCTCTGATGTTCGTGAGTGAGTGTTGCTTAGGCTTAAGTCTGAGTCTCATGAAGGTGAATGTAGGGCTTTCTGTTTAGTCCTGGTAAAGTTCTGGAATTATATCATGCAAGTACCATTTTAAAAACAGTTTTGAGATCTTGTGTGTTTTTTACTGGAAGTTACAATATTCTATAATCTAAAACATAAAACATGCTAATTTACATGTGCGAATGCACTTTAAAGAACCCCATTATAACCATAATTCCACATTACATTTATATTAAAACCAAATTATATCAGATTTTTTTAAAATGTATCAAATTAATTTTTGTATCTGCAGGATACAACTTATTTCCCATTTTCAAAACAATACTATCAGTTTTGAATTGATGGCATTCCTTCACAGAAAACTTAAATTACAATGTTTTCCTGGATTTAACAATGTTAAAACCACATGAGATTAAAAACAATGAGAAATACAGCATTGTCTACAACATTACTGCACAGATTTTCAGTCTGTCTTTAATTATCCACACTGTAATTAGTTTTAATGTAATTGAAATTAATTCATAAAATGAGGACTCAGCTATAATAATGTTTATCGTTAAAACGTAAGAGTATGTATAACTGGACGCAGCTCCTAACACAATTGAAATAAAAAAATTAAAAGGTTGCCTCATACCCTGTGAGCATTAAAGGTTTATTGTGTCTGACTTTTTTAATTCGAATTTTGTGCATCTCTTGGCCCTAATCATTGTCTACTTTATGGAGATTGTTGAGTATATTAAGTACAGAACAAGTAATAATGTGCAATGTGCATAGTGTTTTTCAAGAATAAAAAATTGATGTAAGTGAGGCCAGACTGTAAATACCTATGGTTGGATTTGTCCAGGAGGCCCTTACAAACACCCCAATAACCAACGTAGGATCTTCCATGACCAGGTAGTGAGATCAGCCCCATTCTTTTCACGGTGCTCCTACTGAGCCCCACCACCTAATGCAGGTGGCTTTTTGCCCAGTGAGTGTGTGTGCACGTCTTGGCATGTGTCTGTTTGGGCTGTGGGGCTTGTCAGTCTGATAGTCTTTCTGTTCCATCACCCTTTATCATTTCCCTTTTTCCTTTTTTATGGTATTTCTCATTTTGCGTGCACACATCCCGGCTCTTTTTATTTGCTCCTGGTTTAGGGTCCGTTCGGAGTTCTTGACCAGTACCGGGCCTGCAACAGGAGAGGATTGCTTTTCCAGGCAGCTGTCCATACTGCAGAATTCAGTATGCAGAGTGCAATCTTGTATTGGAACACATTCTGGCTCAGTATTAGTTTAGTTGCCTGCTCATTCTGGAGATAAAAAGTCATTAGAATGCGCTCGTTGGTCAGAGTCCTTCAGAAATGCCTTGTCATTGGTTAGAGGTTTAGTTTCTGTTGCAGAATTGAGCCTGACACATCAAAATTGTACAACAACAGCTGCACAGCACCCAGGGAGAGCATAATGGGTTCAACTTGTTTCTTTTTTCAGTTGTTCTTCTACTGTACCGCTAAATGTACTGCAGGTAGATATTTTTAGTTTTTTACCTGTCTTTATCATCTGTATCCAGTGTCCCCTTATTTTCCAAATCAACACAAAACAAATCTTTGATTTCTATCACGTTGTAAGAGGGTAACCTTCAGGTTTCATAATGACTTGAGTGATTGACTTGGAAAGTAGTTCACAGGGCAGGAGGGATGATAATATACATATATTGTCAATCTTAAATAATGAAATAAATAAACAGCAGACAGAAAAAGCAGGGTGACAGCTGTGAAGAATTTGACCTGGCTCAGACAGAGAAGAGTGATGGTGTTGAAAAGCACTCTGTATGGTCTGAGACTGCAGATGAAACGCATGTCTTTATACTGTCAGCAAGGAATTGATATACCTTGACAGGCACCGGGGATACAGCTCTCCTTGTTGAGCCCAATTTGTAGTGTTGAGCCAGGAAAGCCTTTGTCCATTAGATAGTGTGTGAGAGAAAAAAAGAGAGATGTGGAGGCCAGCCTGAGGCTTCTGGAGGCTTTCTTTTATCATTCTGGTTTAGTATTATGCTTCAATTACAGTTTTATTCCAGTGAATCTCTTCAGAAAAGTAAACTTCAAGGGCAGGAGTTCTTCAAGTAGGCTGATGTTAAGGTGATTTCTTCTTTTTAGAGCTACTGTGTGAAACTAGTGCTAAAAAGGGAAGTCAGGTCAGACTCTTCAAAACATGCATTATATCATGTTTCATTATTTTCACACTTCAGACTGTGTTTGAGTTATCTGGTATCAGACTGCTTTTTCAGTTATTTTTTTACCAGTTTGCTTCTCTATGGGTGACTCAGGCAACTCTAATGGTTACCCAACACACATAACATTTCAGCACCTATTGCCAAAACCAGACTAATTAAGACTTCTTTCTAAAAACAAGGAGTTCTGCAGTGAGGAGAGCACATTCTGACCTGAATCTGTACGGAAAACAAAACAGCCCCTGACAAGGCAGACAATGAAGCCAAGACTCTGGCACCAGAAAATCAGCATGACTGGCTCTGGAGTGTCTGCGCTCCACAGAGAGGAAGGAAAGGGTGTCCCTGTGGTTCAGGCAGGAGCGTGCAGACCTTGAATTCCTCTGCCTCTCTTGACTGGGGGAGAGAGTGCATTTCAAAGTCTGAGCTTTTTGTGCTGCGAAGGTCAGTGCACAGGAGCAGCACTCTCTGTAGCCAAAGCCCCGGCATCAGGGGACTCCATTTTCAAGGTTTTATTAAAAAGGACATGTCTGAGCCTTGGTCTGTGAACACTGCAGACTGCATCGGTTTTTGATGCGTCCTTAATTGAATTTCTACTCATAACGCTTTAATTAAGTGGGAATTGTGCTTTGGCACTTCAAAGTCAGTCCTGAGCAGGACCTGAAAGTTAAAGAACACTTTTTATCCCAATAAAAAGACAGTCTGTAAATTATAAATGGACACTTAATGATATAAACTTGGTTGAAGTCTGAAGGTCAAGACTGCAAACTAACCCTAAGCCTCCCTGTTTACAGATGAAGAATTACCTTAGTTATTCCACTTTGGTCTGTGCTACCCACTTAAAGAAAAAATCAATATGCGATGCAGGAGCATGAAGAAAAATGTCCCAAAAGCCTTTCATTTTTGTCCCACAAATGACTGCACTGTGGCTCCAGGCATTTTGTTTTACTTTGAACTATACAGTTCGAAAGATTGTGTTCTTTGTAGTTTCTTTCCAGTTCCTCTAGGTTAATTTCTTACACAGTTTTTTTGTTTGCATGTGTGCATGTGGCCTACAATCCATTCTAGTAATTAAAAAATGATAATAAATGTATAAAATGCATAAAAAATCTATTTTTCCAGAACGTACAGTATAGCTCATTCATCAAAGAATGATGTATAGAATATGTTTCAGTTTTGGAATTCACTGTAAGGCATGCTGAGTGGTACTGTAATCAGGGCTATTTACAGCCCGTTCAGCAGCCCAATACAGATTAGCCTGAGAGAGCTATTGACCTGCTCGTTTAATTTTTGTGTGCCCCCGCAGTTTGTAATATGAAGATGCTTTACCAATTGTTATCCTTTGAAAGACAAAATAAATTAAAAGAGAAGTGTTTTTCTCCCTCTGTGTGCAGGTATGATAAGTATATTTTTCCCGCTGGATATTGGCTCCTCTTCACCTTTACATTTTTCTTCATACTGTATACAGTATATATTAAAATTGCTATATTCTTCTGGAGTTACATTTTTTTTTTTTAGATTTCCCAAATTTACCTAAACAGAATTTAGCTGTAAGATTAATACCTCTCTGAAACCCAGACAAGCTTAAGCTATTAAAGGTTTTAAATGACACAGCTTTTGGTTCCAAACAAACTGAAGGAGAAATACCGACACCTTCTCAGACATAAAATTGATATCTAAAAGGTCTCCAGTCTATGGTTGATTGATTTTTACACTTTGTATTGTTTGCATTGAAGGAGATCTGGGCTTATTAGGCCTTGGGTTTCTCTGCGAAACAATGCAGTCATCCAAGGCTGTCACAGATGCGCGTTCATTAACATGACTGATGCATGTTGCAATTTCATTAACATCATATCAATAATGTATTCAGCAATCTCATTGAGCCGCATGGCAACCACAGCTGGGAATACTTAATGTGCTCGTCTGTCTGCCCTGGTTTCCCTGTTTGCATTTCTTAAACAAAAAACATATCTGGAAATACATTTACAAAATTGATTCCTCATAATAATAAAGATGTGCCACTTTTCAGGGTTGTCTGCCTTTTAATTTCTAAAGAGACGAAATCCCAGACTGTTTCAATCAATCAAGTGTTCATGTCAAATAGGGGCTCTTTTGCTGTATGATTAACACACAGCATAATAAACCCAAAACTCAAAATATTCTTGCAGTGGAGACAGGGGAACTGCAAAACAAACTTTTTTGACAATCGTTATTAGGATCTTTGGAATTAAGGAATTATTTGGTGAAACTTTATTATTACAAGAAGTCTTGTTCTTGATGAAAGATTTATGTTAACCATATTGTTTTTGTTTCTGAGTGCAGGAGGTAAAACAAAGCTTCTTCGAATAGGAATCTGATAAAAAAAAACTAAAATGAATCAATTGAGAATGTGAATTTTAGAGTTTTCAAAATGTTTCTGAACAGTGTCCATCATGTTGTCTGATTTTCCACTGTTGTTTTTTTTCTTGGGTGCAGAAATATTTTGTACACTTTAGACGAAAGGACACCGCGGTTCTCCATATTAATGGACGCCCAAGACGTGCTGAAGCTGCACCGTTCCAACGAGACTGCACTCCTGTCCTTGTCTGCCATTTCCAACGCCATCAGCTCGGCAGAGAGACACCTCAGGGCTGGGATCGCCCTCTTCGAGAACGACCCCAAGAGGAAAAACTGATCCACTTGGCTCGGGTCCTGGAGAAGGCAGGGACTCCAGGTGTTGTGTTGGAGAAGCCCATCCGCTTCAGTCGGACCTGCGTGGGGACAGCAGACAGCTGTGGTGGAATATACAGTATGGGTGTGCTTGTCTTGATCTGGAAATAATATTGGAGGTTAAGAAAAACAAATACAGGGGCAAAAGCAATACAACAAAACTAGAATGCAATATTTATTACGAGTGCACTGCTCACATAATGAGCTTTCAGGGCTTGGAAAATATTAGGTACCAGGTTTTTTGTTCCTTAGTTGTTATTCGTTTTATGAAATGTTGATTTTTGTGGCTTTAATGTCGGTAGTTTCTTCGGTTTTGCCTTTTATGTTTGAAGACATCGAAGCGTGTACTGTATGTATATGGATATGTCTTTGTGGTTTTCACAGAGAATAATGACAGTAACATTGAAAAAACAGCACTCAACCACCCGAAGGTCCAAATTGAAAAATAAACATACCGTCACGGAAAACAGGGAGAGGCTGGAATGTGACAAATGCAGCAGGCGAGTAAATCTAATTGACAGCAGCCTTGGAGGATGAATCAGTTTGTCATTTACCAGCATTAAATGCAAGTTATTGCTAAGGAGTGGAAATGCATTGGGCACAGTGCTGCTGAACAGCATGCCAGGGAAACTCCACTGCAACGATATCATTTTGTGTCATTCTTTATAAAATGTGTGGTTTAAATGTACTTTTTTTTCAATGCATGATTCATGTCATTTATGATATTTCAGAGAATCCATTGAAAAAAGGAAAAACAAAAACAAATAAAAAGCACAAATGCTAGCCCGCAGGACAACAGCAGGCCTTGTATCCAATACATGAGCTCGGTCACACTTCTGCAACACTTACTGTAGCATTGTACTAGGATGTCTGTATTTCAAAATATAGAGCACAGCAACATCTTTCTGATGATCAATCAAGAATACAGATGGTTATTTCTTAAAGCACAATCTTTATGTGCCTTACTTCTGCTCTTCAAGGTGCATGGGCTTTTAGAAATTCATAAATAAATGTATATTTACATCAAAACAGGCCATAAAATAAGATTAATGTCAATGGATTTAACACTAACTGGAGAAGGGCTGCTACACTGCCACTTTCCTTGGGAAAATAGAAACCATAAATACAGTATATACAGTGTAGAGCCATCAATGGCCTGGAGGCTGACTTCTCTGAAGTTGTTATGAAGGCTGTTCGGTGTCTGGATTGTATGAATACTCAGCTCACCAGTTTAAAAAGCTCTGTCTAGAATGGGTTACAGGTACTGTAATTGACAAGTATTGGTCAAGGCATTGGAATTTACCATTAAATTAGAAATTAGTGGAGGAGATTAAGATGTTGAAAATGTAAAAGCAACACAGAATGGCTTAATCCCTTTGTAAAATTAAGCCCACATTACTGGCTTTGGAGCTTAATGATCCTTATGCAGAAGGCAGATTTTTTTAATGATAATTTCCCCTTTCATCCCTGTTTCCAGATGCTGATGCCCCCTGTGTGATATGGGATGCTGTTGTTGAGCCCATTTCACAAGCCACGCTAAGAAAGCCCACTTTGATTTCTCTTTTCTTTAAAAGTATATTCTGGTCAAGAAGCACATCTGAGGGGCTTTGCTGTCCTTGTTATCATTCATCTCAGTTTATCTGTGTCTGGACTGGGCCATGGATCTGTTATATCCAGGACAGTTCTGTGAAAACTGAGCACATGTGCAGACTATCCCATGGGCTAAATTAAAAGGTTCTTTAGAAAAGTGCACAATTCATTATTTGCCTATTTTTGAGCACCCTCTAGGCTACCGTTCCAGAGACACTGAGAAAACACCCATAGGATGGATCTAAATGAGCAGTTCAGAATTAGTGAGGTTAGGAACATGTTCAGGGTGCCACCTTCCCCAGGGGAACCAGGGAAAATTGCCCATTTAATTACGGTGGTGCAGGAAGATTGCCCATCGAGAAACTCCTGACCCACGTGTCTCTCCTTGGGCTACATTGAAGTTCAGAGATTGGAGTGAGAGTTTAGAAACTGGTGTAGTGTCTCTGCATTCCAGAGCTTTCTTACAGTATATGGGTTTTTCGGTTGATTTGATATGGAATGACCAACATGTGTAAATATATATATAAATAATTTGCATAAAAGTTTAATTATACACGCAAATGTTAAAAAGGAGAAAATGGCTGTTTAGCTGCAGTAAATTTAACATGCTGCATAGAGGTGGACCCCATCAAACCAGCAAGTAGCACCTCCATGTAGAGCCTGTCTGTGCGGTCTGTGAAGCTGAACTGAGCAGCAATGGGTCCACTCATCACTGGTGGTCAAGCTTGGGGTGTTGGTCAACGGCGAGTTTAAACAAACAGCGTCTTCCCTGACTCTGGGTACAATAAGTCTCTTTGCTTTTCGCAGCAGCAGATATCAAGGAGGCTGTATTCAATTTTATATGAATATTGAGCCAGATAAGTGGTACTGTATTGTAATATTTTTAGACACAGAAAATGCCAGAGCAGACAGTTCAGCGTTTGGCCTTATTTTGATATAAAAGTCATGCTCCAAAGTTTTCAAAGGACTGAAAAAGTGCTCATGAATTACTTCAATGTGGAAACTGGATTTATACAATCTCATTTCAAGAATAATGCAGAAATGAACAGTAGTTCTTCTGGTGACGTTCAAAATTCAAAGTGTCCCTGCTTCCAATCCTTGTAAAAAAATTCTTTTAAAGTTGGCATTCATTTTTCTTTCTATTTAGGGTGCTAAAGAGGGATAAGGTGAAATTTGATAGTGTGTGTTTCACCTGTGACATATTGATAAAACGTTTTAAAAATGGTTTGATTTACATGCTTTTCAAAATTGATAGAAATTGAATTTTTGGAAAACTTTATTCAGGGAGACCAAGTTTACACTGAGCTTTAACTCATGAATGTGCCTTCAAATGAAAAAAAAATAATGCTTTAAAGTCTCAAATTCTAGTTTTGAAAGGTTCAAAAATGATTCTGATGTTCAGATTCGTGTGTGTGTGAGTAAAAATCCATTTCCCTCTTTAATAATACCAAAAATATGTATGAAGATTCCACCTTTTGTGACTGGAACTGTTGATTTGGTCATGTGTCTCAGTCTCCAGAGATATGCCAGTCTGTAAACTCACAATATCCCAGATAAAGATTTCTAATTATCACTGCAAATGCCTAAGATACAGCTGCAAGTACTGTGTGTATCAAGTCATCTGAAATGGTAACCATTTTCATGAAAATGGCTGTACAGTATTGAAGCATTATAATAACGTAGTTAGCTCTCAAATAAAATTATTCTGCAGTATTTTGCATACTGTAGCACAATTTTTATTTCTTGGGTCAATTTGACACATTGGTATAGGAGGTGGTGCACATGAATCCTTACACAAGCGGCCGTCAATGCAGTGAGACATCAGGATAAGCTAGAAATGTTAGCTAAATCGAGCGCTGTTATTTGTTAGCGATTTGTCAGACATGCCTATTCACCTTTAAGCCAGAGTGGACTTAACACCGATAAACACATGACTGGTGCCCAAACTCCTGGCATCCCTGTACTGTAAAACCTGTAAACAGACAGCTGTCTGGGAGGGCTGTGGACAAACGGAGCTGCGCCGAGGGGATTCTGCTGCAATCATGTCATCTAGAGCGGATGTTGCTTTGCCTCACCGAGCCGCTAAATAGTGCAACAGCGACAGTTACCATTATCCCAAGAAAATACAAGCCCCCTCAATCCCAAAAAGCCACAATAATTCCACGATATTCAAATAATGCCGTGTGCCAATGTATCCTGCACGCCTTGGGAAGCGATCCCGGATTATCAGACGCTTTCCTGGAACGTATTTTAGGATCAGCCGCTCTAGATTTCAAGGGGCGGCCTACAAGTCAGGTTTGATTCTGACAACCCGAGTGACACTGCTAACGTGTTCTCCTGTGTTTGTGTCGGTGTATTGGTGCAATGTCAGGTGTACAGTATACAGTACGTGAAGTGTAAGCCTTGTACAATCAGCTAGTGGAAAAATGGAAGCTGACCAGAAATGTAGGAAGAGACAATGTGATCGCATGAACAAGCTCCAGTGAGAGGTCTTGATCTCTTTTGTTCTTAATCTTGTTCTCTGTATTTCTTTCAAGATTTGCACTAATTATAGAATTAGGTCCTCTTTACTTAATTGATTAACGTTTTGATGATGAAGTTTTGGCACTACCAACCAAGATTTTTATTGTTTTTTAATATTATTATGAAATGATTTTGCGTATGAGTGAACAGTTTGTACTTGTTCTGTGAAACCTTAGTAACGGCATTATGTGTGAAAAACAAAATACAAGAAGTATAAAATGCTGTATTGAGAACTAAGTGTTCTTGTATTCTTAACACCAGCAAATGCTTTGAGAAATCTTTTTGAATATGAATGAATCCTGGTTAACATTATTTATATGTGAATATTTTTTATAGATCAAAGTGCATTTGAAAAGCCTTCTGAACGTTTTAAAATGTCCGAAGCAAAGTTGTATTTTAGAAATCATGATGATGATGATGATGATTTTTCACTGGAAAATTGCTTTGCACTTTGTAAATTATAAAATCAAAATTAAAAAATAATACAGTAGGTGTTAGTTTTGGTGATTTTACTTTGTCAGGAACTATATATTGTATTTTTTAACAAACTGGGCCGTGATATACCTGGATGTTAAAACGTGTGTGTACTTCAAATGAAACGGAGGATAACCAAGTGCATTTGTTCATCTTCAGACTTTTGTCCTATTGCTAAATGTCACATACATTGATAAATACAGTGAAACGAATTTTCTTCTTACTGAAACTGTATTCCAGTCACTGGGGAAAGACATGACTATCACATCCAGATATTTGTAAATATTGTGTTTTAATTCAGATAGTTTTGTCCAGATCTAATCTTTAGGTACTTTTCTCATTGTGTCCATTGTGTTGTTATGTTTTTAATAATGGTAACTTTTGATGCTACTGTGAAGAATTTGTATAGATACGTATAGATAGCATGTACACATTCTATAGGTATTGCTGGAAAATGCATGTAGCATTTCATAGTTTTTTTGCTTTTTCTCAGTTGTGTTTGTTTTGGCAAACAGAAGATGTAGGCACTACTTTTTCTGATATGTATAGAATGTTAAGAATGAAGTATGCATGCTTCAGATGTGTGTTTGGCATTAAAATAGTTAAAGGTTGTTTAAGAAATCTTTATGATGTTTCATGATATTGTGCATAGATTAACTTGATTAAATACCCCTGATTCAAAAAAGGCATTGTTACAAACAATGCAACTGGTTGTGGTATGTATGTTTCATTGATGTTACTAAATATTTTATATGACATTTTCTAGTGAAGCAATAAATCCAAGTTTTGTGACAGAAAGGTTGAATTAATTTCAAGTCAAGAGTTGCATGTTCTTGTACTTACGGTTTTGTACTGCTCAGACTCTTTACACTCCCCCAGAAGACGATGCACACTAAACAGGAGACGTGCAATGTTCTCTGTACTGTGTTGATGAACTTCAGAAGTTGCAGTTCCAAAATCGTTAAGGAATTATATGGAATTATACCCTTTATAAAGTCAGGGTTGCTTCTGTTTACTTCCTGCATTCTTGCATTCTTCCTGCAATTTTAAAAATATATATTTGAAAGTTAATTAAAAATGTCTTGATTTGTGCAAAACACTTGTAATATAGATTGTATCTCTGTGATGTTTGAACAAGTCGATATTCTCAGAAAAAATAACTTGAAGCATGATGTACTTTTAGGACATATGATAAGCAATTTAGTTATATTGTTTTGCTTTTTTTAAGAATGGTATTACATTTAGTCAAACACAAGCTGATAAACTTCATTTCTAGTTACAAGGATATTTTTAATGCTTAATGCTTTTTTCTTTCTTTTGCTAGTGATAGATTGACAGCTTTTGCTAGTCTTTTGGCACAGTTCTGGACCTAACTTGAATTGACTGTTCACCGGCCTCAGCCATTAGGGTGCTGTCAGCATTATAACAGAACTGTTGTGCGTGATGACAGTCATTTCTTAAGATCCTCCCACATCTGGCTCCTTACTGGTTCTACTTTACTGTCTCTTTATTTAGCTTCTGAAACACTAAACCAGATCTTTTCCCAGCATTTGACACTTAGTCCTGCCTCAGTAAACTTTATTATCTGACTCTTTTACTCATTGTGTCTCCTCATAATTTGCTAGAAAACTATGGAACGATAACTTGGTCACGGCAATCTGGTCTTTCACCCCTGGTGGTTCCTTTCTGCTAAGAAAGCAAAGCAATGCCAGTGCCAGAGCCTTCTTTTGATTGCACTGATCTTCATGCCAGTTACTGGGATTAAAGACTATATTGTCCTGGTTTCTCCCAGTTAACTTTGAGCTGTTTAACCTCATGATACTTCTGCCCTGATCTGTATACTGGTTATTGACCAGACACTCTAGCCATCTTTCTTATGATATTAATTTTATAAAAACTGTGCTGGCTGGCTGTCGTCTTTCTTCCTTGGCCTCATCTGTCTCTGTCACTCACTGAGTGCAGTGTAGGGCTGTGCTGAATATAGATGTTTCTTGAAAGACTCCTTAAAGGATTTTACTTAACCATCATATTTCAACTCCAAAAGTGCCCATTGGTGGTGTGATTCAGCCCTCATCTCTAAGATCTCCCCCCTGTCCACTGGCGACAGAGAGACACAGAAGACACACTGGCCTACTGGATTGTACAGGTCAGCAGACTGGGACAGCAGGCTGTAATGCCCTCGGGTGTCCTGGAATTGACTTCACCTGAAGAGACTAGTCTTGCCCACTTTGAAACCTGCTTGTACTGTAAGTGTCATTTCCTCACTGAAGTCCAAATATGTTAAAGTACTGCAAGGGGAGTGGGGACACTGTGCTGTAAAGGTGTATTCCTGTGTATGAGGTGTCCAACCTAGTCCTGACCTTTTGTCTTTAAAGATCCCCTGACACTGTTTGTCAGTCAGAGTAAGCTGTAAACTGCAGTATTCTGCCTTAGTTTCATTCTGGGCTCGTGCAATCTGCCCTCCATAAAGTTGCCAATAATTCAGCTGGTGAAGCAATTTCTCTCTCCCTCCCCATCGGGTGTCCTGTGCTGGTGCTACACGTGGCAGAGGTGGAGATGAAATGGGTCCACTACTATAATTGGAGCGCTTTCAGATCCTTTAATTTGAAAAACGCTACATAAAACAAATGGCCGATGGAAATATTCAATTCTTTTACTTTGCCCAGGGATAATCGCGAGTGTTACACCTCCAAACAGTTGTACACAACATCTGAAATCCTAAAAAGAAGAGGTTGATTCAGAACAGCCATCAACGGGAACAGCAGGTGGTCTTCACTTCATTCAGCATTTCAGTGGCAGTTAACTTCACTATTCAGCTATGTAGGCTTGTCATGGAAAAAAAAACTAATCTCCGAGAGCAGAATGCTGCTCTGCTACTAACAAAACACAGTGTTATTCTGCAAAATACAAAGTACCTCTCCCAGTTTTCATTGGAGGCCATAATGAAAAGTAGGAATGTCATATCTGACTGCGTCAGTGTGTCTAAGCTTAGCTTGAGGCCAGATCTAGGTCAAGCACTCCTGATTTTCATGGACTAACACACTGTTGAGTTTTTTTTTCTTTTTGCTCATGACTTTCCAGCGTGGAGTTGTCCTCTACTTGTTTCCTTGCAGGGTCCTGCTCGAGTCTCTTTAAATTTTCAAGTGACATAACTTTTGCAAAACACATTTCTCTCTTTCTGGCTGTGTTGCACTCACATTACTAGTGTATGTCTTTGAGCTGCTGAGTGGACTTGCTGTGGCTGAGGAGCAATGCCAGCAGGCAGAGCCTCCAGAAGCCAGCTGATGTGTCATTAGTGGAGTAACAATAGCTGTGGACATAGCAGCCCATACAAGTAATGAGAATTTTGTTCTAGGAGTGGGATTTCCAATGTAGAAATGATAAGAGTATGACAACAGTGAATACAGTAACAGTAATAAGCTTTTGCTGTCTTTTTTAAAGGAAAAACGTTATGTAATGCACATATAAAAGTTTGTGTACATAATACATTTGTAAATGACAGAAATGATGGGTTAGAAGACTTGGAAGACAGAAATGTAGAATATCTGGTGTTATACATTTTCACTTTGTGATTTTTCTTATGCCTCTGGCAATAAACTTTGTATCTGGTTTTAGCTATTCTATTTGACTTATGAATTTTCTTTACTATGCATTCTGTTTAGGTCTTCTGATAATAATATTGGCTACATGTTAGAACTATTAAAGATGATTTTATTACTGTATTTAAAATGTCTATCAAAGATGATATATTCTTTCATGTACTTTGGATGAGAATGAGCTGTTGGAGTTTCAGGAGCTCTGCTTGCTTACTGCTGTTCACAGTGCAGGGAGTTGTGAACAGTTATGGCTTATCATTTCCATTATTAATTACCAAACGTGTTCTGACAGTTGTTCTGCCCGTGACGGAGAGATCTTAAGTTATTACTTGCTATTGCTCTGTACATTTTAGTTATGGTTAAATTAGTTTTTCAAAGCTCTCTCTTGCCTATATGAAAGACACTGAGCACTGCAATTAAAACCTCAATATTAACGTTTTAATATATTTCAGCTCTCAGTGAAAAGAATATTCATTGTGCCATTTTCCATTAGACCTTTGCTCTGTTTCTATGGTTTATTTTTTGTAATAGAAATGGTAATTTACTTTTTGTATTGATTTTGCACTATTAACTGCTATTAAAAGCTATAGAAATTGATTTTCATTGTTAATTGAAATAAAAATTAAAGAAAAGACTGTCAAATGTGACTTTGCATTAACATAATACATCTACTTTACATCCACATTATATCACTTGTCTAAAAAAAGCAAAAGAAATGCTTTATACTGTAGCTATATCACTGAATAAAATTCCACTGAAGGAATACGTTTAGAAAAAAAGCATAATAAACGATTCGCATGTTAATAATTTGAAACCAAATTAACTGTCTTAAAAGCAGGCTGTCAGTCCAGCAGCACTGATTGAGGCCTAGGCAGCAGTAAACAGGCCTGGGGACACACAGTTACATGCTGTTGCTTTGAGCCCCAAAAATCTCAAAACAATTAGTGCAATTGAAATGACAGGAATGGTAATGATGCATCATATCATAATAATTGAAGGATTTTTGTTCTGCAATGTGACAATATAATTTCAAACAGAATCACAGTGTCTTTCATATAGTTTAGTGTGAGGCAGCAGGTTCAAACTGGTCTCTGCCCAGTTACTCAAGAGGGTAGGACTGTACTTCATAGGCCTGACGGTGTGGCGTTTCAGAGGACATGTGTCTGTTGTCTTCGTCTCTCCCGTACTGGAGCAAGTATTGTAACAGAGACTCCAAAGTGACACTGAAGTAAAATTTACATAACTGTTGACCCCCAATTTTAAATTCTTTGATCCTTCTGTTGATGTGGTAAAGAAGAGAAGTTTCTGTCTCAGATTTGAAATCTAAGATGAGAACATCTCCAGACATGACTGTGACCCAAGTAGGTTTGTCATGGCTGCTAGAAGAAATAGGACCAAGAATGGAAATCCAGAAACTGGAAGGTAACAACCCTACTCTTTTCAAAAAATGCTCGAGACCTTGGTTTTACCTCATCCAAAGGACAGCGCCTTTTTACAGTATAGTGTTCCCGTCACTATACTGGGGCATTAGGACCCACACAGACCGCAGGGTGAGCGCCCCCTGCTGGCCCCGCTAACACCTCTTCCAGCAGCGGCCTGAGCTTTCCCAGGAGTCCCCCCTCCAGGCTTCCTGCTGATTAGCTTCAGTGGGCTGCCAGTTCTGAGTAAGGTTGAGCGCACTGAGAACTACAGAAGACACAATGGCTTCTAATTGCTTTGTAAAGAGAGGTACTGTACTCTAAATCACTGTACAATACTCCACACTGAGCATGCCTGACCTGTCCAGTTCCAGATTCCTGAGATTCCAGAATGGGCACGCTCAAGATGACCTGTTCTAGATAACACAGGAATCTTGCTCACTCTCCAGCTACCAGCATTTTAGCTTTCTTTGTTCTTTACTGTGTTTGTGCTTTGTTATTGCTTTGCAGTAGTTTTGTATGACGTTAAAAACAAAAATATCAAACATGAGGGGGCCTACACCGGCACTAAAGAGCGCTGTTCAATCTGCATCTACAATTCCCACAGAAAAGGGAAAGGGGCTCGGGATTCTCTCGTCCGTCTCGGTGCTGTCCGAGCTGCAGAGCTTCTCAGCATAATCGCAGGAGTCGGGCAACTTATGCTGAAGGATGACCATGATCCTCACCCAAAGCCCCTCTGGCCCTTGACAGCAGCCCGTTCACCCCTCAAAGGAAACCTGTGCTTGTAAGAAGAGGTTCTTTATCTGTGCACATAAAATATATTCAGATTTAAGAATGTCCCTTGCTTCTGTTAATAAACCTACCGGGAGTACTTTTAAAATTTTAATAGTAACTAGTAAAGATCTTTTATGTAATGTGGCATTTCAGTTTACTGTATATTCATTTTAAAACAGAACCCCCATAAACGGATTTAAATAGTGGACTCTTTATGATGAAATATCAGTTTTTTTTTTGTTGCATGCAATTGCTCTACAAATGAGGTGTTCTAAGACTATTCACATCAACATAAATTAAAACTGCCTGAAGGGTTCACTTCAATTTTACATCCTGCTTCACTGGACTGAGTCATAGTGTTGGAGCTGTCAGTCTTGAAGGTGCATTTAGTAATTTGATGTGGAACGTATAGTAGGTTAAAGACTGCTCAACTGATAGCTCTAAAATTATGCACTGTTCATTTTCTTCTTCCCTGTATATACAAAATCACCTGACACTGAAATGTTAAAGAAGAGAGCAATTTGAATTAGATGGGCCTTCTTGTTGTGAACATTCTTATGTTCTTAAGCACACTGTGATCTCCGTCTGATTCCCACACAAAATACTATTGTATTTGTGTCTGTGCTTTTGAACAGGGCATTTACATAATAGGACAGCGAATGTACTGCTTAAAACCAGAAACATCTACTGAGCACAGTACAATAGGCTTCTGTTCTGCCTTTTCAATACTTCCCTAGTAAGTGAAGAGAGAAAAATGAAACCAGGCAAAGACCATTTTCTACTCGAGTAAGAATTGGTTTGCCAGACAGTTGCTTTGTAGGGGATGTGACTGTTCCTACAGTCAAACTGAGAATGGCAACTGTCGGAAAATGGTTAGAAGGTCAAAGTGTCACAGGACAAAAATAGAGAAAGTGATAATTGTAAGCAAGAAAGCTGATAGTATTTAAGCAGCTGTAGAGAAACATCACAGTTGTCTCTAAGCAAAACAAAAAACTTTTCAAAATAAGGTGCTGTATATTATACATTTATAGTTTAGGATTTTAAAAAAGTGGTGTTTAGTTAAACCAGTGATCTGGAACATGAGAATCCAGCAGTCAGACCACCTCACAAACTCCAGGTCCTGACTGGAAAAGTAAATGCACTGGTAAAGGAACTGCAGGAACTGAAATGGCTCAGATAAAAAAACAACTGACGAACTAACAGAACTAGCGCTCAGGGAGGTGTGCATCCTGGATTGTCAGAGAAACAGCAGGAGAAGGAGAAAGAAGCAGGTCACCGGGGCTGAAGGAAAGTAAAGATCAACAAGCCCATCGACAACACCACCCAGCATCACTTCACCAGAAAGACCAGCTCTGACCCCGGAGCTGGACTCACAGATGGGAGCCCGAGACATCAGCTCCTGGCTCGAATTCTCTAACGCTGCTCTCGTCCACAACTGCTGCCAGGACTACCAAGAATGCAGAGAGAGCAGCGGTCGTTGAAGACTCCGTTCTCTGGACACTGCAACTGGAAATTCACACCAGGAACCGTGAGATGACAACAGCTTGCCAACACCTGTTTCCCTGGAGCTGAGGTGACTGATATTGTCCACGGAGCTGACAGGCTCCCAGTTAGTGCAGGCGATGACAGTTGCTGTTGTCCATGAGGGAACAAATGACATTGGTATTAACAACACACTAATTTAAACAACTTGGCAACAAACTGAAGAACAGAACTAAATCAATGGTTCTCTCTGGAATCCTACCAGCACCGCACCTGGGCAAAGGTGAACGATTGCAAATGTTAATCCTTCAACACCGCACTTTGGGTGTGGGCATGGCGTTCAGAAAAAGGCACCAGCTTTCTGGGGCGCTGGAAGGCTTTCCTTGGCTGAGGCCACCTGTACAGGAATGACACATCACCTCTGAACAAAACGGGCATCGGTCATTTCGGCACATCGATCCAGAAAGAAACCCAGAAACATTTAAACTGGAACTGAAAGGAGAAAATAGTAAAGATAAAGTTGGATCCAAATACAAAAAAAGAACCCAAAGAAAAAAATACAAATGATCAGATAATTAAGTGCTTACAGTATACTTTACAGTAAATGCTAGGAGTAGCAAAAACAAATTAGATCATGTAGAATACACCATATTAGCAAGTAGTTATGATGTTATTGGAATCACAGAGACCTGGAAATTGGAGAATGGTGGAGAGGAATGTAAGATTGGTGGATTCACTGTCCAGAGAGACAGGAAAGATAGAGCAGGGGGATTGTCACACTACAGTATATATCAACAAGGGTGCAGAACTTAAGCTACAGGAATCAGAAATGAACCAATGTGGGTCAGACTAATTAAAAAATTCCAGTGGTACTGTCAGACCACTAAATACAGATACAGTACAGGTTATAATTCAACACTGTATAACGAAATTAAAATTCATGTGCAAAAGAAGTAGATTTTATGGGAGACACCTACTGTATAGGGAAACACCCATAGGAAATTGCTTTTATGTGGATATGTATTTAATAGGAGTGAGTTCTTTACAGAAAAACTGTTGTGGAAGTATGCAACAAGCAACCCAGCCATGTGGCTGAAACTGATACCCCGGCATCTTTCAAGAAATGACTGATGAGATCCTGTGATCAATTAGCTCCTAACTTCCAAACGGCTCCTCTCATTTGTACCCTTTCTTATCTTTTTACAAGTTGGGAAGAGTTGAAACAACTACTGTGGTAACTAGGAGTGCTCCATCCAGCTGGGAGCAAGGTCTGAAAGTAAATGGTATGTTCTGATAATAAAATCGGTTAATACGTCTCTATTGCTGCATCAGGCTATATGGTCTGACCTCCAAGGCTTCACTTTTCAGGTGGATATCGAGAAGCGCAGTGCTGACTCCAGCTAGTCTAGAATGAAAGCAGCTCTATCCCTGCTCACCACATCTGAAATGTTGCATTTCACTACATAGTTCAATTTCAATTATTTTCTTTCTGAACAATTCTGTATTATTATCAAGACAGAAGTAAATGCACTGTCTTTTCTGGAATGCACCCGTTAATAATACATTATTATGAAATGACCCCCAACTCAGGCAAGACTAAGATTGGCAACTGACCCTGCATTACCTAGACAGGTTGCGACAGGACACATCTTACATGTGGGCTTTAAACTGAAACAAATTAACTTCTGTCTAATCATGTAATTAGATGGCTTTAAATTGTCAGGGTTGTTTTCTTTGTTTCCACTTAAATGTCTGGACAGCTGACTTGTTACTGACGTCTTGAAAAGAGCTGAATGTGAATCAGGATG